CCGCCCCGCCCCCATTCTGTATCTCTTTATTTCTTTGTTACCCTCCCTTACTCACGGCTCTAGGCTCCTGCGCCTGTTTCTTTCTGATCTGCGATCAAGCGCTGTGAGGTTCACAGACAGCATGCTGATGTCGCACACCCAGGGGACTCAGTCAGGGCCTGGGAGTCGGGTCAGTCGGTGGGAACCCCCCACACTGCGTTGTGGCGTCGTTAAAAGATGGGGGCACCCATGGTTAGAGCGGAAGAAGGTGGATTGGCCAGTTAGGGGAAAAGGGCCGACTTCAGCTGTGCTTTCAGGAGGTTCACTCCCAGGGACTCGCCAAAAGCCAGATTTGAGCCAGAAGACGCCACTCAACATCGGTGCCAAGCACCTTTCTGCAAAGTGAAGGAGAGTGTTATGAGAATTCATTCTGAAGAGTTTAAGACATTCTTGTCCCCTTCTCTTTATTAGTATCGCCTTAGGGCAAGTTTTCAAAAAAGATACTCTCCAAGAGTCCTTATCTTCCATTGGGTTTCCAATCAACTTTTTTTCTCAACTAATGTACATCCTGAATACTGCATCTGTCTAAGCTAAGAAGAATTTCCTTTTGGGAGGTGAAAGCCTGCAGCTCCTCCTGTTCAGAAGAAAGTGCTAGTGACAGTAATGCAGGGTGACACTAAATAAACAGTTAGGGTGGACTGGAAAGATGGAGTTAATTATCCAGTGAGCTGCGTTTCAGCCCAGACCATCAGGGGCTGATTTGTTTTGGCTCACAATCCGAGGAAGGAGACAAACCACTCTCTTCTCTACATCTCTTAGGGATTCTGATCGTTGGTTTCTCCAACAAAACAAAACAAAACCCCTCTACCCAGTTATCACTGTTTCGATTAAAATTTGTTTTATTACTCCTCTTCAAATTCTGCAAAACTGTCCACTCTATTGCCCCATAGCCCTGGGGGGAAGATCCAAAGTGACTCAAAAATACACTCCAAAAATCTTTTTTTTTTTTTCCAGAGGCCCATTGGTAAGGAAAGTGAACACCCAGCAACCCTTCCCATCTCTTCACTTGGATTCTTAAAATGATTTATGTAACTACATGTTTATAAAAACTAAGATGTGATCCAGGTTTTCACGATGGTTTTACTACCCACCGCCCTCTAAAAAAAAAAAAAATCAGGCTTCGTGAAATTTTAGATGAAATTAGATTTATTGTTTGCGTGATTCATTGACTATCCGGTTTCCTCAGGTAAGCCTGCACTTACATATAAATCCTAGTAACTTAAAACGTCTCCCTCCCCACTTTGCTCTTCCCTCCCTCCCCTCACGCCCCCACTCTGCCACATTCTGATATTAATAATCCCCGGCTGCCCTTCTTTCCGGGTCATTACGGTACTGCTGGTCTCTAATCAATCCTAATGCGATGGCAATTGGAGTCCCTGATGACTGCGGCTCGGGTTTCTTGTAATGGCTCTACCACATTTTCCTGGACCTCCTTCTTTAACCTGAGATGCCAGGGGGACGAGTCCCTTCTCGGCGGCTGATTACTTCAAGATGTGGGGGCTGGTCTGAGCAGAAGGAGAAAGAGACACGCGCACAGCGTGGCTACCACTGCGGGCTGGGCGGCAGGGGCGAGCAAGGCGACTGCACGCCGGACGCTGGCACCCGAACTCCTTTCGCTACTCTCTTTTCTTTTCTCCCCATTTTGCAGATCCGAACGCACCCTGGAGGACCAAGATGAAGATTCTTTTAGCATTTTTCCCCCTGGTACGAAGACGCCTCGTGGTCTCTCGGCCTCTCCAGCTCACTTGGGTTCTTACCCTGCGCTGCCCGCCCCGGCTCCCGGGCCAGGCCGGCCCCTCGCTCAGGAGTGAACCCATCTCCCCATTCCTCAGAGCTGCCTCTTCTTTTCGCCTGTTTATTTTCTTGCAAAACTATCCACCCTTACAATTTTAGTGTAGTTATCCCGAAAGGACCTGGATTCTTCCCCATCTACTCTGCTGACCCTTGACCTCTCTTCCCTACCTTACCCCAGCAGTGCCTGAGGCTCCCAACCTGTTTCTGACCCAAAGCTGAGGCCAGAAGCTTGGCCGGGTTGTGTCGGGATACGACCCCTTCTCTCCTGACTTCTGAGGGGCCATCGCTCAGAATCCTTAACCTCTACGAACAAAGGCCCAACACTTCTTTCTGCTGGTGCCATTGGGAGAGAGGACCAAGAGTGGGAACTCACGCTGTACCTCCCTCTTCCCAGCGGAAATCTCGCTCGCTTCCCCTACCCCTGGTCCAGGCCCGGCAGCGAGGCGATCAGCACGTTCTCAGGATTTGTATTCTTCCATTTCTCAGACTAAAGCCATTTAGCGTAACCCGAGCCCAGGATAATTGCCACGTTTCTGCCGCGATACTTTTAAAAACAAGATAATGCTTCTGAATTGCAGAAGAAAGTGCTGCGGACAAATTGAGCGCTGAGCTGCCGAGATGGATCGCTTTGTTAGGGGCGACGGGTGGTTTGTGACTCAATTAGTGCATTTCTGGGAGCCACTTGCACTCTGTAGCCGGGTTAGCTCCAGGCGAGCTTTTCCTGTGGCTCCTGGGCGCCGGGAGGGGGTGGGTGGGTGGTTGCACCTCAGGCCTGTATCAGCGTCAGGGCAAATCCACACCATGGGAAATGTTTTTGCATTTCCACATGAGTACGCTGTTTGGGTTCTAAAGGATCCAGATTTTCGCGGAAACTTGACTGTCTTTGCTCCCGAGAGGGCCGCGCGGAATTTGTCTGAAGCACTAGTCCCCGGAGCTGCGGGGAAAGACATACTGGGTGGAGGGTGCTGGGAAGATGCCCACTCACCCATTTCCTTCCGCGCGTCTGGCCCGCCCGCCTGGGCTTGGGGCTTGCAACATTTCCAGCACCGTTGCCGTGCTTGGCGCAGCCCTCCTGGAAGCGGTCATGGGTGAGGCTTCCAGGCAGCAGGCGGACGGCAAGAGGCGCTTTTGGGCTCAGAACAAGGCCTTAAGAGTTTTCCCTGTCTCTCCTCAAGTTCACACTCCACCCCTACCCACGTTTCGCCTGCCCAACCTGGGGTCCTGGGTAAGCCTGTCAGGTGCGCGCGCGCGGCCACTTCCCGGAGCGCCAGAGCCCGGGATAGCTCATCGCGCCGCGTGCTCGCTGCCCCGCCCGGTAGCGGGTCGTGCCCAACCCGGCCTCACCCCTACCCCTCCGGCTGCGCCAGGAACCCCTCCCCGGGGCAGTGCGCGAGTTCCCCAGCGCCGCGTCTTCGCCCAGGACGGCTCCTCTCAGCCAAGCAGGCAGAAGTCGGACGCTCAGGCCGGCCAGCCCGGGGCGCCCGGACTTTAGCAGGTCGGACCCCGCTGCTCTCTAGAGTTGTTCCCCGAGGAGGTTACTGGGGCGTGAGGAAGGACGGGACAGGGCCCGGGAGGGCGGCGGCGAGAAGGAGGCGCGGGAGGTCAGCGGAGCAGAGAGAGGGCGCTGTCTTCCTGGCAAAAGATTCTGACCGGCAGGAACCGAAACAAAACAAAAAGAAAGGAAGAAAAAAATCTGCCCGGCTGAGCCGCGGGGGTAAGGGGAGCGCAGCGGGGAGGGGCAAGGGTGGCTGAACGGATTCTCAGCTAACAGCCGGGGAACCGTTTGGCCCGCCGCGGCCTTGCAGCGCCACGTAGCCCCCAGCAGGACTCTCGGCAAGGGAGCCTTCTTTGGCCCCTTTAGCTCTCTTCAGAGTTGCCTTCCTTCCAGGGCCATTCCCCCCTGGCTTTCTCCCTTGGAAAACTGGAAGTATCATAGTAGAGTCGGCGACGCTTCAGTGGTGATCGAGATGCCCCTGTTTGCCCGAGGCGAACGGTGGTGGTTGGAATCTGGATCCCCTTTCCGGGATCCCTTTTACGTGAGTCCTGCGAGAGGGAACCGCAACGCCGGGCTGTCCTTCACATTCAAGCGCCGTAGCAAGTGGCCTCACCTGGTTTGGTGGCACCTTGCCCAGTAACCCACGAAGAGATAGAAGACCCTCTTATTTTCTGTCACCAGTTGGTCGGGGCGCACAACTCGATGACCAGAGGGTCTCGAAGCCAGCTAGTATCAACCATTCCCTACCCAAACTCACAAATCTAAAAACTGAATTTATATTAATAGACTGCTTTTCTTTCATCTCAAAAGTACATACTTCTTTGTCATTTACAAAAGATAACGTGTTCTCGTCTTTCCATGCTCGTAATGAATCACGCAAAGCAAAACCAAAGGTTCCCAAACTCACTCATCTTCAGTCTTGAAGGGTCCCTTTATGTTAATGAACGTAGTTGAAGGCCCTCCTGATTGTACATGGATTCGAAAACCGATCATCTCCTTACATGTCCTCCACCAGTGTCAAGCTCCAGTCTCTGTGTGAATTTCTTGAGGAGTCGAGGCTCTTTCCTAGGCAGGCCTTCCAGCGGAATCCAGGTGGCCCTGTTTTCCGCCTTTGGCAAGAAGGCTATTTCCTAGGAATAACTGGGTGGGCTTCAATCTGCATGCCTCTTCACATTGAGAGCCGCTTCTCTTGTGGGAACGTCTGTTTCTATTCATCCGATTTTGTAATTTCTTTGATCAACCTAAATATTTTCTTGGCAAACGGAAATTGACCATGCCATGAATATGATAACAACCTGCTTGGAAAAAAGCTATTTTGTTTCCAAGCAGGGGGGAAAAAAAAAAAAGGCGGGGTGAGGGGGAGGGAGGAGCTCGCTGGTAGGAATGCTTGTAACAGACTCCTGCCCATACATCTTTTTGCAGTCTCTAAAGCAGCTTTGTGAAAGCTGCCTTTCCCGTCTAATATAGTTTCTTCCCTTTCTCTCCTCCCCTCAGATAAACACACACCTGGTCGCCTAAAAGTCTTTGATACTCTTTATAAAAAAATAGAACTTCAGTGGATGCCTCTGGAGAATTTCCCTTTAAAACATAGATGAAAGGCAAGGTTAATACAATGTTCTGTTAATCCCTTTGCCTTCTGAGTCAAAATAAATATTTTCTTCTGCATGTGATTGTACATCCTGCCATTTGGCTACGGCTATAAGCAAATCTACCGGTAATAAACGTGTTTTGGAGCTGTGTATTAAATGCAGTTTTCTTGAAATCAAGGGGGGCGGGAGGAGGCTTAACTTCACAGGCAAGAGTTGGTGGGTTTCTGAAAAAGCTGCAAGAAAAGGACCTTTCACCTCTCATTAGTGATGCCATCAGTGCTCGGGCAGAGTGGAGCTGAGGTCATGTTACATATGGCACACAGTCTGCTCAGCACTTGAAACGTCAGCTTTGAAATTTTAGAGAGGGGAAAGGTCATCTTTAATAAGCTAAAGTCTGGGGCTCCCATTGCCCTCATTGCAAACTGGGTGGGTGTCCATATGCTTCAAACCTTCTGCACAAGTTTTTTTTTTTTTTTAATTTACAGTTTTAAGCAGATTTTTGTTTCACATCCTCATTTAAGCCTTAATGTTTTCAGCTGTTAATACTCCAAAGGCCTTTCATTCTTTATAGCAACTCTGTCATCTTTCCTTTTCTTTTCATACAATCATAAAACCGTCTGTTCTGAGTGATAGCTTTTTAGAACTAAACTTCCCAGGAGAAATGAAGTGTATCTGTCCATCTGCATCCATGGATCCAGACATGTGGGCTATAGGGTTACTCTTCTGAGTGGGTAATTTAGACTTCACTCTTGTATACTACATAATTTACTGAACCTTCAAAACATTAAAACTTCCATATTATGTAAAAGCTCTAGTTTCTGGAAAACTTCCTGGGTACTGCTAAAATTTTTCATGCCAGTTACTGAAATTTCACATTTATTTTTACCATGTGGAGGAAACTCTCAAATCAGAATATATTGATTCTTCTATAAGGCTTAAAGTTAAGGCTGACAGATGCTATAATGGTACATACAGCACTGGAAAAAAAAAGTGCTAATATCTCACTTCCTTGTTCAGGAAATATTAGGAACATTTGTGAATGTTTAATCCTCAAATTTGTTCAAGAAGTGAAGTCAACCAAACCCACGCCACTGAACTATACCCAGGTCTCTTTGTAGTCACTGTCAATACAGATATAAATATTTTTCTTTCATGTAAGTCTGTAAGGAACTTCTCAGTAGAGATTTGTCATTGACTCAGTTCCAGAAACTTTTTTCCATATGGACCTATTATGGAAGAGGAGCAGCCTCACCAGACTTTTTTGCATGCATTCCTCACTTTTCTTTAAATCTGTCAACCCATTTTGTTTGTTTATTACATATTCCAGATTTTAGTTTTTTCAGTTTTCTCTTTTACATAAGTTACATATTTTGTCCTTGTAAAAAAAACTTTAGAAAATAGGACAAACTATGTATAATAATCAGATTCAAACAGTAGACTAAATATTTTAAAATTCCTTCTACCATTCTGCAAATTGAGAACATTGGAACAATCTTCAAATATCCTCTTGAGCCAACTAGGGGTTCCTCATTACTAAATAGTTTAATGATTGATATGCAGGTAAGTGTTGGTTTTGCTTTGTTTCTAATTAGAGTGTCAAAATCTGTAATTGTGGATGAGAAAAAATTTTAAAAACTCTGCACAATAGCAACTGGAATTATAGATGGATAGGATGATTTCACAACCAAGAATGACATCAAGTAAATAATTTATTTCTAATCACTTTCCTACATGAGGATTTACTGCTAATAAGCTAGTGGACTTTGTGGTACTTTAGCTAACCTTAAGCACTTGAGGCTTTGATGATCCAAATGGTTTAGTAAGTCCAATCAATCTAGTCAATACCAAGTCAAGATAAAGATGCAGATACTATAGTCGTAGGAGTGCATGTGTGTTTGGGAAGGAGGTAGTGTTGCTTGTTTGTTTGTTTGTAACTAAATTTTAAATCTTCCAAAAATACTCCAGGAGAATTTAAGAGCAGGTTCTGTTACTCCAGTAAGGCTGAGAAACAGGAAGTGAAATATTGCAAGAGGCAGGTTCATTATTGACAGGTCAATAATTCATTAAAGGCCTATGAAAGGAATACTAATAATTTACACTTTTTATAAGATCCCTCACTCCGGAAACTTTAACATTTTGCAAGCCTGATCTCGTTCATCTTCTTGGAACTTAGGGAGGTATTATCCTTATTACAAAGAGTGATTATCCTTATTATAAAAATATGGCAGAGGTTGTATAATTTGCCCATAAAATTATAAATCAGTTTAGGGATAAGAGCTATGAATCCCAGGTCCTTCCCAATTTATCTAAAAAGCAGTTTTCCATAAAGAGATTAATGATTAAAGTGATTTGAATTTAGTGAACTGTTATAAAATGTTATTCTACTGAAGTTAGACTCTATCATTCAGGTTCAAGGCTTGTGAGAAATTTTATAAATGTCTTTAAATTACCAAGAAAAAATGTAACATGAAGTAGTATCAGTCCACATAGATCTGGTAGTTCTTCCATCCTGGAAATAAGCCATACTCTTAGTTGGTACAATGTCATGTGGGAGGATACATAGATTATAGAACCATGAGGTAATTACTACAGCTTAACTGTCCCACAGAGAAGCTACTAAGTGTTCATAAACAGATTTATCAGGATACATATTCAGTGACAAGATTTGGCCTATACCTTCAATGTTTACAATTTTTTATGGCTTATTTAGGAGAAGAGTACTAGAAATTCCAGAAAATAAAAGATTTGGTTAATATTGAGGGCAGTGCTTCACAAATGTTAGGGGGTGTGCAAATGACCTGAGGCACTTGTAAAAATGCAACTTGCTGGACCCTACTCCTACAGTTTTTGATTCCCCAGGTTTAAAATGGGACCCTGGAATCTGCATTTTAATAAGTACTCTATGTAATTTTAATGCAATGAGTTAGTGAGCTATTCTTTGGGAATAAACATTCACTCTGCCTGAGGTAGGAGCATTAAAAAAAAAAA